ACTCAACCATTGGGCAAGTCATTATGTAGTAATTCATGTTTAGACCGTTACAGTGTCTAAACATGACCACAATTATCACCACCATTAACATTGTCATCTTCTTCAACTTCATGGTGCTTGATAAATTAACGACCCTTTTCACAATGAGAAAGGATGTTGAAACGAAAAAAATAACCGGCAATGGTAACAAGTAGTGCAAGGAAGACAAGAAATAAAAAAGACAACCTTTCTTTGATAAGGTGGAATTCTAGTTGTGATGAAGAACCAATAACTAGTCATAATATATATACACCTAAGAATGTCACATCAACAATGATTTTCATTATTTGTTATATACCTAAAGGTAATTCTAAATGCATGATAAAATTCTAAATACACGAAAGTGAGTCGATCACTATATCTATCGAGTGAATATTAGTTTTAATTTAAATTTTCATTTCTTTTCCTTCTACTTCTACAAAACTTTCAAATTTGCCCTATAGTTTTCAATATTCATACCATCTTTTGTATTACTATATTAGAATTTAAAAAATATAATAATAATATTAATAATATATTAAATTACGATTGTTAAAAAAGATGACGTCACGGATATTAACATCGTACAAATATTTGTTTATTCTTTTCATTTTTTAGGGAATTAAATTCATTTAAAAATCAATGAAAGTTACTAATTTAAGTTTATTTCTTATTTATTTTACTATTTAATGGTTTTAGTCATGAACTTCTACTCATATATATATATATATATATATATATATATATATATATATATATATATATATATATAGAGAGAGAGAGAGAGAGAGAGAGAAAGAGAGAGTCAAGATCAAATAAGAAGAAAAATTTTGGAAGAAATGTAATAAGTGTTTTTCTACATATTTTTTTAGTGAACAAACAAAATAATCATTAGATGATTCATTTGTAAGATAATTCATCAAAAAAAAAACAACTTCATGATTCAATTTTAAGTAAATTAAGAAAAAAATCATGACAATTTTAATGAATAACAACAAAATCATTGTATAAATGAATCATCGAGATGTTTTTTGAGCATTTTTTTGTGAATCATGTTATTTTTTATTAATCTAGTGATTCATTTATTTTGTTCGTCAAAAAAATATGTAGAAAAAAAACTTCTTACTTCCTATTAAAAATAATACTTATCGGATATATATATATATATATATAATTACTAATGATTGTGGTTATGTTTAATTTTCTTTAACTAAAATCATAAAGAATCAGTAGATATACTATAAAATTATAATAACATAATCATTTTCTCTTTTATTAAAAGAGTAACAAAATAATTTAGAATTTGGTTATTATGAATAATAAAAATAATCATATTCTCTACATATAAACGAACTGAACAAACAAGAACAAATGTTTGTTTATTTACGTTCGTTTAAATTAACCGAAAAAAGATAAATAGAAACGAATTAAACGTATACAAAAAAAAAAGGTTTATTTATGTTCCTTCATTTAGACTTGTCTATTTAGAACTTTAAGTGTATTTAACTAAATAATCATTTAGAACATTATGATTATGATTAGTTTACTATTTTAACTGTAAATATATAGGAGCTTGATAGAACTTTATAGTAATTTATTGCACTCAGTTAAAATCCTGATCACTTTTACACGATACATTTGTGCCAATAAGATGATACTTTATAGTAGTTTACTTGCCGAAAAAAACAAATCACCTAAACAAACTATTCACACTCATCGTTTAGTGCTGGTAAACAGCTTTCATATATATATATATATATATATATATATATATATATATATATATATATATATATATATATATATATATATATATATATATATATATATACACACACACAAATGAAATTATGTAAGATTAAGATAATGGTAAAATTTCTAAAATCCTTAAAATAAATCAAGTTAAAAGTTAAATTTTAAAAACTTTGGACGACTACAACCCATATATGATAGTATGATATAAAACGATGTAGTACGGTGGATTTAGATACCTAAGTTTATATATTTTGTAGGGTGTATTCACTTTTATATATATATATATATATATATATATATATATATATATATATATATATATATATATCAAGTAAAGTTATTGAAATTTAAGTGAATAAAATTTATAAGGGTGTGTTTTGTAACTTGCATCTAAGCAAAAGGAGCTAAAATCAAAAAGGGTAATGTATTTTTTGATTTGTACATATTTAGTCACTGATTTTTTTCGTTTACATTTACCTCTTCAACTTGTTAAACTGTACACATTTGATCATTATGACCGGTTACTCCAGGTTAGCCGGTAAAAATAACTTAATAGGGTAATATATTTGTCATTTTGTACACATCTAGTCCTTAATATTCTGTACACATTTAATCCTTAATATTTTTATTGTTGCAAAATAAGTCAATTTTGTTTTTGTAATCATTCAGTACTTATGAGTGATTTCTTCAGGTTTTTATCACGGCATCTTACGTGGGATAGCGATATGGTGGTGGGATAGGTTGAAGTGGTCCTGCTATGTGATGTAGGCCAAGATAGTTGGTGAGAGTCGGTTGTAAGTCGTAGGCACGGAGGCTTGATAAGACTGGTTGGGCTAAGGCGGCATGTCGACCTGGGTATTCTAGTCTGATGACTGATTAGACCTGTTGCATGTTGGCATTCCAGACCAACAACCCAAAATTTAAGACCAAAAATTTCTTTTAATAAAACATTACTTTAAGCAAAGTCATCATTCCAAAACATAATCTGAGTATAAGTTTTCAAAACACATTTTCATTATCAGAGTAAACATTCTCAGGTTGTCTAATCTATGGTGTGTACCATGCGATCACCCCAAGCTCTTCCCTCCACTACCGGAAGTACCTGAAACCAAAACTGAAAACCGTAAGCACGAAGCTTAGTGAGTTCCCCACCCCAGCACATACCATGCATAACCACATACTGCACATACTGGGCCACGCCCGCTATCTTGGGCCTCGCCCCTACCTCGGGCCTCGCCCGCTACAACGGCCCCGCCGCTCCAGGCCCCGCTTGGCTTCGAGCCCCGCTCGGATACAGATCTGTTTTACTTAGGCCTTGCCTGTCACAGGGCCCCACCCGCCAACTAATAATATCGTAACATATCACAACACATAAGTTAAACTCATACAACTGATCATGTCCTAAGGCCTCGCCTATCCTAGGCCTCGCCCTTGTCCTGCTACTGATGAGTCATGGAACCCCGTCCACGCTCCTACTGGTAGTGAGATACGGGCCCAGCCCACTCTCACTCCTTCTCTAGCTTAGGCCTCGCCCCTATTCTGCTACTAATGAGATGTGGAACACCATCCACACTCTGCTATTGGTGAGATACGGGACCTCGCCCACACTCACCTCCCTACCAGGCACATACATGTATCACACAGACAACAAGTATAGACTATCATATAAACAAATCCTTAGGCACCCGCCCGTTATTAAGGGACCTCGTCCTGAAAATCATACTAGCATATTGTGCCTAGGGCTAACCCCCGGGTCTTCTACTCATAACTACATGGGTCGGTATTGTGGCCTTAGACCCATTCACACAAAGGGAAACTCACCTGCACTGGCTGAACTTGCTGATGATCTCACTAGCTGTTGCCCAGCAACTCACTGAACTCCTGCTCCCCTTGCTCCCCGAACTAACAATATCAAGGCAATACTAAGCCTAACTGACCCCCGAAAGACAACCAAGTCAACCCTAGTCCAAGTCAAAGTCCTGGTCAAGGTCAACCTTCCAGGTCAACCCTACTCGCCGAGTCACCCTACTGACTCGCCGAGTTCATATATTCAGAATCCTTCCTTTCGCGTCTCGACTCGCCGAGTCAGTCCATGACTCGCTGAGTCTACCGATTTCTGAGTCCTGACCTGTCCAACTCACCGAGTCTCCACCTGACTCACTGATTCGAGTCTCAACTCGAAGGGTTTGGGGTTTCACAACCTGACTCGCCGAGTCCAAGAACAGACTCGTTGAGTACAAGGCAATCTTCATCTGACTCGACGATCTGTTCATCCCACTAGTTGAGTTGCTCCTCACCTTCATGCTACTCGCCGAGTCCACTCAAAGGACTCACCGAGTCCATTCAAATCCCTTTACATGCAGAGGGATTTTGAGTCATGCATGGACTCCAAACTGTAGATCTACCCTCACGTAAATTTGCAAACTTTACATGTAAAGAAGGAGATCTAAGCAAAATACACCATAAACTAGGGTTTAAGGCAAAGAGGCTCCAAAATCAACTCAAGGGCTGCTACTTTATGCTTCTCAAAACCATAATGAGCTTAGATCTGAAGTAGCAACTTCAGATCTAGCTTCTAACTCAAAAGAGGTAACTAGTCATGGCTAGAAAACCCCCAAAACTCACAACCATACTAGATCTAAAGGAGAGAACGACTTAATACCTTCAATACCTCAGAAAACTTCTCCAATCTTCGGATCCAAGGCCAATCCTTGAAGCTTCAATGATTCCCCTACTTCTTCTTCCTTCAAATCACCCCACAAATGGCTTGAAAGCTTGAATGAGCAACAATGGGGCTTAGGGTTCGATGTTCTGGGTGAAAGAGGCAGTAAAGGAACCCTAGGTGAGAGAATGAGGCGTTTAAATAGGCTCCAAGTCCCGATTTTAGGGTTTTCCTCGCACAGACCAGACTCACCGAGTCCCCTTGGTCGACTCGCCGATTCGGTCACTTACTCCTCGACCCGGATCCCGCTCGGACTCGCCGATTTCATCCTTGGACTCGTCGAGTCTCCCTTAAAATTAAGGTTTTCTTTCTTTTCTTTGCCTTCCAAACTTTGGGTGTTACAAGCACCACTTTTGTCTGTGCCCCGCAGACAACGCGCAGACTTTTATCCCCGCAGATTGTTTGTTTTTTCAAAGGGCTAAGATCTAAAAACGTCTGCGCGAAGTCTTCACCATACAGACATGGACCACCCACTTCTAACATCTACGAGCTTTTAACCTAAAAAATGCCGCTACTTCCAATCGACTCCTTCTTGAACGAACCCATCTTCACCATCGACGCCTCAACCCTCGCTCCACCATCACCGATCTCCCTGCCGCACTCCACCGACCACAACGCTAACCGTCGCCGACCACAACACGCCGACCAGAACGCCGGACTTCAGATTGCGCTTCCTCTCGGCTGTCGGACCTGGTAGCTATCGAAGGTATGCTCTGTTTCCTTTTTATTCAAATTTCACATGGAATTGGTGTTTATTCTTGCTGAAAAGTCTATAATCTTCTTAAATTTATTGATTGCTTTTCCTTTCTTGCATAAGTTTCTTGTTGGATGTTGCTGAAATTGATGAAATCAAGTGCTGGAAATAAGAAATATTGTTGTGAATGTTGTAATTTCTTGATATCTTTTGCTGAAATTGTTTGCTTATTCTTAAATTTGATGTTTACTCTTGCTGATTCTATTTGCTGAAAATGGTTTTTTTTTCTTAAATTTAATGTTATTTGTTGTTGAAATTGATGACATCAAGTGCTGGAAATAAGAAATATTGTTGTGAATGTTGTAATTTCTTGATTTCTTTTGCTGAAATTGCTTGTTTATTCTTAAAATTTGATGTTTATTCTTGCTGAAAAGTCTATAATCTAGTCAAATTTCTTGATTACTTTTGCTGAAAATGTTTTTTTTCTTAAATTTGATGTTAGATGTTGTTGTAATTGATGTAATCAAGTGTTGGAAATAAGAATATTGTTGTGAATGTTGTGATTCTTGTTGATTTGTTCTTAAAATTGTTGTTGAATGTGCTTAAAATTGTCTCAAATTGTTGTTGAAAGTGCTTAAAACTGTTGTTATTTGTTGACTGTTAATTGTCTCAAATTGTTACTTTTTTTTGTCTCAAATTGTTATTTTTTTTATTAGAAATGGGTGAAAAATAACATTGGACCAATGAGCATTTAAAATGCTTATTGGATACTTGTGTTGAAGAATTGGAAAGTGTTGGTAGAAAAGGCTTGAGTTTGCAGAAAGATTCATGGATAAGGTTTGGAAGAGTTCTTAAGGAGAAATTTGGGGTTGAGTTGACTCAAAAACAAATGAAAATTTCATATGACAATCTGAAAGCCAAATACACAGGATGGGTATATTTAAAAAACAAAACTGGTAATATATACAATTCTCAAAGAAACACTTTTAACTTCACATCCGAGGAGTGGGATGATTTTAAGAAGGTACATAGATTAATACATATAAAAAAACATTTAAGTTTGAAGTTCCGTAATATTCTTATACTTTTTTTTTGTTACATTTGGGTTTAGGGGCATCCGAAGGCTGCTTCATTGAGAAAAATTCCATTACCTTTTCCAGATCTTTGTGCACGTCTTTTTGATGGAAATAGTGCCACTGGTAATTTTAGGAGTTACTCAACCCAGTCATCATCAGTAGCTGGAGCATCCTCTTGTCGTGTTCCACCACTTCATATTACCGCCACCCCTTTTCATGCAATAGATGATGAGGTGATGACACTTCCCATCGTGGGCCACCACCTTTTGCTGCTTCACCTTCAGCTGCTTCACCTTTTGCTGCTTCACCATATACTGCTTCACCATCTGGTAACCCAAACAAAAGGGTTAAACCCTCAACTCCTATACCTACTAGTGCCTCATCGTCTGCTTCTTCACCTAATGGAACTTCTATTACTACTGACGATTTAGCATTTGAAATGAAAAAATCTCTGTAAAGTTTGACTAAAGGGTATACAATTCCTCAATGTTTAGAGAAGTTAGAGGTGCTTCAATTAGGCCCTACAGATCCTTTACGCTTTGTTGCATATCATATTTTTGGAGGGACCACGAACATGAGAGAGATGTGGATGCATTTGCCCGATATTCCCAAGATATTACGAGGATGGCTTGAGATGACGGGTACAAGTTTAGGAGTGTTGAAGGATGGGAAGATTGTCCGATGATTTTTCTAGTGTTGAAACTATTTGTTAGGTCTTATTTGCTTTTGTTGGAACTATTTTTTGTTATTTTTCTACTTGGAATATGGTTTATCTAATGTTTTGATGGTACTTGTAATATGGTTTATGTAATTTTTATTTGCTACTTGAAATATAGTTTATGTAAAAAAAAAAAAATTGCTACTTGAAATATGGTTTTTGTAATGTTTATTTGCTACTTGAAATATGATTATTGTAATGTTTTTTTTTAATTCTACTTTGTTTATTTTAGGTTTATAATGGGTCACAATCAAAAGTTACTTCTCGTCATTCTTATGTACTCGTACATGTGTTATTTTTGGAAGAGGGGTGTGAAACGATTGCGGGATAATGATTCGAAAATGACGGGACATGAATACACATTGGAGTTGTTACATCGTAATCGTTTACAATGTGTTGAAGTACTATGTATGTCCTGTGACTCTTTTGTACGACTATGTGCTCATTTTAGAGCAAATTACTCATTAAAGGGCAGAAAACATGTATCAGTTGAGGAAAAGATGGCTATGTTTTTTATGATGATCGGCCATAATCAACGTTACGTGATTATCAAGCGGAGATTTCAACACTTGAAGCAAACAGTTCATAAATTTTTTTATGAAGTGTTGGAAAAAATGATATTTTTCGCACAAGATGTTATAGTACCAAATTCTTTTAATCCGAATTCAAACATTCCAGGACATAATAGGAGGCTACGATGGGTTTTCAAAGGGACAGTTGGTGTACTTGATGGCACTTTGATACATGTTGTTGTCCCTGCTAAGAAACAAGAGTTAGATAGAAGTAAGGGAAAGGGAGATTGCTACCAAAACGTATTGGCAATTTGTGACTTCAACATGATGTTTACATTTGTTGTGGCTGGGTGGGAAGGGGTAGCGCATGACTCTAGAGTATTATTAGAAGCAGTAGCCGATCCACAAGCATCATTCCCGTTTCCACCACCAGGTAAGTTTTTGTTTATTTAAATATTTTTATCTTACTTTGAAAATTGATTAGTGTTTTTCATTTTTTACAGACAAATATTATCTTTGTGATGCCGCGTATGCACACACTCGAGGATTTATGGCCCCTTATCGTAATAGTAATATGAGGTATTGGCTTGGAGATTTTCGTCAACGACGTGTGTTAACCAATAAAGAAAAATTTAACCACGGACATGCAAAACTTCGGAATGTCATTGAGCGTGCTTTTGGTGTTTTGAAAACACGCTTCCCTATATTGAAGAGGATGCCACCATTTCCGTTTGTGACACAAAGAAACATTGTCATGGCATGTTTCACGTTTCATAATTTTATAAGGAGAGAAGGACTAAGTGATGAGTATTTCGCACGATACGATGAACCAAATGTCCCGTTTCGATATAACAATGTTCCCGTTGAGGATGATGAAGACGAGATTCCAACACATGGTACTACAGTAGACCGTGAATATATTACTCAGTTAAGGGATGAAATTGTTGATCAGTTGATGCACAATATAGATTGAATTGTTTTAAATGAAATTGTTATTGTAAAACCTAATTTTTTTTATTGTATGACTAATTTAGTTGTATGAATTTTATTTTCAATGTTATAAGCAAGGTTCTAAATAACGTAAGGCGTGGCTTGACGGCATGATAAAAGTTAAGTCATGACAAGCCTTGGCGAGCCATGGCGTTTTTCAAGCGTGACTATATTATATACATTAAAATATATAAATCATATAATTTTTGAATTTTATCAAATATATGAAGCTTTTAGAAGTGTTATATTAATATCTAATAGAAAAATAGTTAACAAAAACTCATTTATTTTAGGCCCGATAAAAAAACAAAACAAAAAAAACAAAAAAACTCGCGCCTTGAAAAAAAACTCGAGCCATAACGCGATAAGGCGCGCCTTGACATGTTATTTGGGAGCCACACTTCACAAACTCGCATTGGACGTTTTCGTAACGGCTACACCACGCCTCGCGCCATGGCGCGCTTTGTAGAACCATGGTTATAAGACTATTATTATTAAAATTAAAATTTTAGAGTTGAAAAAATCATTTTATTTAAAATTCAGTTTATTTCAATAGTCTGCATACGTTAAAAAACAAACAGTCTTATTATTGCAGACTGCAGACGTTTGGTCCACCTAGGGATGAGCATATGGACCGAGGAACCGGCCGGAACCGGTACCGGAACCGGAACCGGCACCGGAACCGGAACTTGATGGAACCGGTCGGGCCGGGACCGGGATGTTATTTTTGTGGATTTTTTGAACCGAGAACCGGTAGGAACCGGAACCGATATAACCGGAACCGGTAGAACCGGCAAAAACCAGAACCGTATGATGCTATTTTTCGAGGACTAGTTCCAACATTTGAAGACATAATAAGAACCGGTAGGAACCGGGAACCGGTGGAACCGGAACCGGTAGAACCGCCGGGCCGGTTCGGTTCTTAATTTTGGCCGAAGCCGGTTCCCGGTTCCGGTCCGGTTCGGGCCGGTTCCGACCGGTTCGGTCTTTTTGCTCATCCCTAGGTCCACCTCTTCTACTGCAGAGGCTTGCAGATGTGGTCCGCAGATTGCAGACATTTTGGCTTCAAAAAAACAAACAGCACCTAAATGTGTACAGATTAACAAGTTAAATGGGTAAATATGGACGAAAAAAAAACCTCTAATAACCAAATATGTACAAATCAAAAAATATATTACCCTTTTTAAATCATTATCTCAGTTAAAAAATATAAAAACGATTGAAATTTCGAAAATAACAAATATGATGGGATTCATTGTAATCATCGATTATACATGAATTTATTCGTGCTAATAGGAGCAACATGATATTTAGCCAATTTTGATTATTTTTTGAAAAATAATAACACGAATTCTAAACCCACCAATTGAATTCCAAATGCACGAAGACACGATTGATTTGATACCCATCACTTAATAAATTTGACTAATTTTAATAGTATTAGATTGAATTTGCATCGACTATTGTTAAAACTTAAAGAAGATGTAAGTTTTCAATTCAATACCTTATATTTGTATTTATTTTAAAATTAAACCTTACACTTTTTAAAACTTATATATATATATATATATATATATATATATATATATATATATATATATATATATATATATTGTAGACTGTGATTAGTTTCTAGATTGTAGTTCAAAATATTTAATCTTTTTTTTGAAACATCATAATCGCACATATATAAGTTTGCTAAATTAAAAAAAAAAAAAAAAAAAAAAAAAAAAAACAATTTTTTTTAATTTATAGAGATCTTAATAATTGTAAACAACAAAACATAAATTTGATTTTATTAATTATCAGATATTATAACTGTAGAATTGTTACAATTATTGTGTGTTGCAAATGGAGAAATGTAGGAATTCAGGCGAGCAGCATAAACAGTTTCCCATCCAGCAGACCGTGATGATCTGTTGTGACGCCAAAATGGTAAAATAGTAGGTATTGGATATGCTCTATGTAAATCAACCTTCACATAATGATCACCTCTAACAAGAGCAATAACAACAACTCTATAAATTGAGATGTCTTGGGGACCAAGCTATAGTGGAAAACATGTTGATGGACTATCTTTGCTTAGAAAAATAACTATTACATTATACTTGTTAGCAATGAGAAAGCTAGTGACCGGCATAATCAACCAACGATCTTTTGGTGCGAAATGTGATCCATTGAAATTCAATGAGTGATGTATGATGTTTAAATCATAATCAAAAATCTATGCGTACTCAGCTGGGTGTGCTAACAACTCATTCTGTAAATCTAAGCGGATTTGACGCCAATTATCTTCACTATAACCGAGACACGCAGCTATTGCACGAAATCCACAATTTCCATCTCCCCTCACGTTTTGTATGTTTGTGACATATGGATGAAATTCATGCGGAATTTCATTCATAAGTGGATCTGAATTATACATTACTTGTTCTTGGTTGAAGTACGAGCTATTCATCGATTGTTCCTAATGAAAAGTTGAGTGGAACATTGGAGGTTCTCGGAACGAGTACGTACTGTGCCTATCCGGTTCCTGGTTTAGATCAAACAAATTAGACCACATATAATCATGCGTATAAGTAGAAATGCTACGTCGAGACGGATATTGAGTTGGTGGTGCTTGAGTCGATTGATCTTGAGGTGGTGGATCTTGAGTTGGTGGGTCCTGGTTTAAATCGATATGGGTTTTGTTGAAAAGTTTCTTCTTTAAGGAGGGGCGCCCACGAGTATTTTTGTGAGTAGCAGGTTCAGAAACTAAAGTTGTTGACGGCTTGATTAAGTTTAGTAACTTCCTTGCTACACTTAACTTAACAGGTCTTGATTGTTTTTCGTAATGAGCATTAAACAAATTTACCTCAACTACACAACCCAAATTGTCATCTTCTAACGATTTGCATTCTAATAAATCAAGTTTCTTCCAAAACTTATCTACTGAATGAAGCGGTACATAATGACCTTTTTTAACAAATATAGCTTGTTCATGCGCACATGGCAGCCCATAACTTGTACGTACTTGACATCCACAATTTTCATAAACAAATCCAAATTCTTTGGACCGCTCATATTCTTTGAAAATGATATCAAGTGCATAAATTGAAACGAAATGACACAATGGTTTTAGATGTGGTATTTCGTAGTACCGATGTACACTCAAAATTTTGTTATGCGCAAGACTTGCTTTTATACCTGTGTATTGTGACTCAACAACATC